GAGGTCACCGTGGGCAGCCCCCACTGGCCTGCGCGGGGGCAGAGCAGGTCAGGGCTGGGGACAGCCAGGAACCCCCAGCCGCTGCTCACCGGTGCCGCTTCGGGCCCCCCGGGTGTTCCCCAGCCCCGGTGGTGCTGCACCAGCTCCCCACATGCCCCGGGGCGAAGGCGTGCCGGGGCCCCAGGGCGCCGCGGGGCTGCCGGGCACTCACAGGGGTAGGGGACGCGGAACCAGGGTGCCACGGACAGGATCTCCCCGCGGGCGTCCGTCCTGGCCTTGTAGCCGTACTCCTCGGGCTGGCTGGGGAAGACTCCGGTGCGGGTCAGCACGTAGCAGATCAGCCACACCAGCATGATGGCCAGGATGATCTGCGGGGCACACACCACACCGGGACCCTCCCGCACCGCCTCTCGCCCGCGCGGGGCTAAACGGGGGAATGCGGGGCCGCCCCAGGATGCTCTCAGCCAGCCCCTACCGGGAACATCTTGAAGATCTGGATGCGGAGCAGGACAAAGCCGTGGCCCCGCCGGTAGCCGGGCAGGCAGATGGCGACCTGCCGCAGGTACTGGGCAAACAGAACAATCAGGAAGATGGTCCTGGGGGAAAGACAGACGGGATCCCTCTGATGCCTCAGTTTAGCTTTTATATTTTTCATGTTCTATGCTGCTTTAGTGTGTGGATCTGAGCTTCATATCAGGGGATGGTGAGCTCTCTGCACAGAGCAGGGAGACAAAACAATTCCTTCTCTAGCTGGGGACCAGGGACAAATGATCCAAATCTCAGGCCCAAGAGCAGAAACAACATGGGCTGAAGAGAGGAAAACAAGAAGGATGGGACTTCGTAATCTGAACCTATAATTAGACAATTAACTCCAATATGCAAATGGAGCAGAACTTATATAAAAAAGTGACAGACCCCATGACCGGTTGTGCATTTTGTGACCATTTTGGTTCACCTGGGGTGCAGCCCTGGCTGGGCTCTTGTGCTGCCCAAGGTGGATCCATTGAGGCCTCCTAATAAATCCCTACTTTATTCTTTGGCTCTGTCCAGCCTCTGTTCTAGGTCAGCCTTCACAAGGTATTCCTCATGCTCCTGACATCCTCCTGGCTCAGTGTCGGACAACCCTGCCCTCCTGTCCCCGTGTCCCCCGTGTCCCCATGCCATACAGCACAGAGATGCCCCAGTGGGAGCCAGCCCGGTCACCAGCCGCCTGGAAAACGGAGAGTCCGATGAGGGACACGGTGGGGGTGACAGTCAGAGGCCCGATGTAGCTGAGCAGTGCCCCGGGGAGCCCCAGCAGCCCGATGACCACTTCCACCAGGCTGGACACTATGATGGCCCCCTGGATCTGCAGAGCACGGAGAGGTGCAAGAGAGAGCATCAGCATCCTGCCAGGGAGTCAGGGTGCCGCGGGGTGCTGCCAGGATGGTTGCGGGGTGCTGCCAGGATGGTGGCAGGGCAGTGGCAGGGCCGTGGCAGGGCAGTGGCAGGGCAGTGGCAGGGTGTACCTCTCGCATGCGGGGCTGCCAGATGTGGGACGTGTTGAGCGGCAGTGACCAGTTGCCGTAGATCTGCTCTGGGGATGAAGGGCGGTGAGGTGGTCCCAGGGGTCGGGGAGCAGCCGGACACTCCCTGCACCCCCCTGCCCTCACCTTCAGGTGGGCATCGCCACTTGTCCAGGGCCAGGATGGACTTGGCGGGGACGAGGAAGGCCAGCGCGCTTGCCTGGAAGAGCGGCAGCCTGCGGGGACAGAGGGATCCTGCGCCCGGGCCCGGGGCTGGGCAGGGGGGCCCGCGGGGCCGGGGCTCTACCTGATGCCCACGGTGGTCTGGATGAGGGTGGTGATGCCCACGCAGGTGAAGATGGTGCCGATGAGGTAGCTGACGGTGAGCTGGTCCTTGCCCACGCACAGGCTCTCGGCCAGCAGGAAGGGGACGGCGATGGTGCCACTGAAGCAGGTCAGGTAATGCTGGGGGGCGAGGGGGGGCTCAGCGGGGCTGGGGGTGCCCCACAACACGGGGAATGGAGATTTGGGGTCTGACACTTTCCAGGCTGTACCTGGAAGCCGAGCAGGATGCAGAGGTACCAGGGGGGCACGTCCTCGATCCTGTAGAGCATGTCCACCTCCGTCCGGGGGGGCCTGGTGCCCGCCCCGGGGTCCTGCTGTGGGGGCACAGCTCAGCCCATCTCACCCTGGGGCTGCTTGCAGGGACGGGCACCCTTCCCCATGGGAGCCCCTGTGCCCGCAGGGATGGGAGGGGTCCCGGCTGGCCGGTCTCCATCTGCAGGTGTGTCCCAGGCTGATTTGGGGTGTGGTGCTGCCCACGGGGTGCCCCGGTACTCACCCTGCCCTCCACAGGCAGCTCCTTCCCGGGGGTGTGCGGGGAGCCCGCGGGGGCCAGAGCCAAGTTCCCATTCTGGCAGTGGGGACGAGGGGGGAGCTGGGTCAGTGTGGACCCAGTGTCCCACGGGAGAGGGGCTGGGCTCTGCTCTGAGGGATGCAGGTGACACCGGGCCACGGCCCAGGGTGTTTCCTGTCAGTCCCACCCGGTGCCCGCTCTGACCCCCAGGAGGAGTCTAGGCTCCTAAACCCACCGATCCCTACGTAGTATTTTGTTCCTGGAAAGTCTGGAGGGGGATCCCCCCTGCAGGTGATGGGAAAGGTGGCACAGCCAGTCCCAGCCACAGCGTTCCAGCGTCTCCCCTCGGTCCCGCGATTCACTGCAGTCCCCAGGCACCCCTGGCCTTTGCCAGCCCCAGCAGAGCATCCTGACCCTGAGCTGGCCATCGCTGGGGTCAGTGTGCCTGGCCACCACCTCCCTCCCCACCGCCCTGGGATGACACCGAGGGAAGGGATGGGGACAGGGACGGCGCCTGCATTCACCTGGGGCTGAGCCAGCTCTCCTGAGCGGGTCCCCATCCTCCGACGTGTCCCTGGCGGCGCTGTCCCTGCTCGGGGGGTTTTATGGCCGTGGGAAGGACTTTAGTCCCCGGCCGGGCGGTGGCGGTGGCGGGGGGAGGCCGGCCATTGGCTGGGGGTTGTGAAACCGGCGAGCGCAGCCCCGGCACGGATCAGCCATTAACTCCTTTAATTGGGGCTGCACCCGCCCGGAGCAGCGCCGCGGTGAAACATTACAGCCCGTGGGTTACAGAGTAATTCCCCGCTCGCCCGGACGGAGTCCACGGCGCTGCTGGCACGGCCGGGCCGGGCCCCGAGCGACAGCGGCGACATCGGTGACAGGCGACACCGGGAAGGCGCGCACCTCCCGGCACGTGTCGGCTCCCGCTGGGGACGAAGTCGGCTCCGAAGGTCGCCGGGGCATTAAGCATTAACCACGCCGGGCTACAGCTCGTTCTGCAGCGCCTTGCGGGGGTCCGGGCGCTCCTTGCGGCCGGCACAGGGTCCCTTGTCGCCGTGGCACAGCAGCTGCCGCAGCGCCGCCGGGCCCCGCCGGTGCGCGCCGTAGATGTGCGCCTCGCCCCGCTCGCCCACGTAGCCGTGGCACAGCTTGGAGAGCCTGCGAGGAGCCGCGGTGTCACCTGGCGGCGAGGGCACGGTGCCAACCCCCCCCACACCCCGACTCACCTGCCCGGCCACGGTCCCCCCGACACCAGCACGCTCAGAGGCTGCTGCCCCGGCAGCCCCGGCCCCGAGAGCCGCTTCTCCCCGTCCAGCTCCAGCACCCCGTAACTGCGGGAGAGGGGAGTTAGAGGGAAAAGGGTAGCTGGGGACACCCCTGTCCCTGGGGACACCCCCGGGGCACTCTGACCCCTGGGGTAGTGCCGTCCTCGGGGACATTCTGACCCCTGGGGACTCGCCTGTAGCTGGGATCACCGTGATCCCAGGGACACCCCCATCCCAGGGACACCCTGCTCACCTCTCCCAGTCCTGTGAGCAGCTCCTCTCCAGCACCTCTATGTAGTCCGACTCCTTCAGAGCCTTCTTGCCCACCTTCCCTTCTGCCTTGCTCAGCTGCTCCTCAATCTGGGGTGAGAAAAGGCAGAATCAGGGCACTGGGGGTGGCAGCCTGTCCATGACCCGCTCCCGAGCGGGACTGGGCTCTGCAGCCCCTTCTGTGCAGCCCCGGCAGCAGAAGAACATCTGGGTCAGAGGGTCCATGAGGAGCCCCAAAACGCTTTTTTGAGGTGCCGAGGGGAATATCCATCAGGGGCGTGCCCCAGAGGAGCAGCAGCATCTCCCCAGGCTGGAGCCTCCCCACAGGGGTTCCCACTGCCGCTTTTGGGATGCCGTGTCCCCGGTCCCCACCTGGAAGGCGATGGCGTGGCAGGCGTCACAGCGCAGGGATTCGGGCATGTGGGGCGAGAGCCGCTCCTCGGGGCTGAGCTGGGGCGCGGGGATGGAGCGGGTCGGGGCGGCGGGGGGGTCCCCGCACGCGTCCTGGGCCCCTGTCCCCCCCAGCAGGCTCAGCACCAGCCACGCTGCCAGCGCCGCCCGCATCCTGCCGCGCTCCGAAAGTGCGGGGAGGAGGCGTGGGGTGGCTATAAACCCCCCCGGCCGGGCTGCAAACCCCGGGGCGGGCTGTAAACCCCCCGGGACCGGCGAGCGGCGCCGAGGCGCGGCCAGCACGCACCTGCATCCGGCTGGGGCGACCCGTCCGAGCCGGGCGTCGCGGCAGGAAGGGGGCTGTGCATGGGCTGTCCCCGAGCGGGTGCCCCCTCAGTCCTGCAACTCAGCCTGATCCCTTCTCCTCAACCTCAGTCCTTCCTGGGATGGTGTGGACTTACAGGGACTGGGTCTGGGTGGGGGATTTGGGGTTCAGAGCTGGGATTTGGGGTTAAGGACTGGGGTTAGAGGCTCATGGTTGTGGTTTGGCGCTCAGGGCTGGGGTTTGGGGTTTAGGGCTCACTGATAACTGCAGAGTCTCCTCCTGCTCCTCTGGACAGGGTGGATATTCCAAGACAGAGAGAAGCACTGCATGTTCCAAGTGCCTAAGCCCCTCGCCTCCCTTTACAGACCACACAAGCACAGGATGAATAAGCAGGTTTAAAGCTGTTTCAGCATTTTTATTACTATTTTGGGGTATCTGTGCTGCAGCCATGGCTGGGGGGACTGGGGGTGTCCAGGCCATCACCCCCTGGGTGAACCAGCTCGGGTCATCCTCGGGATGGGACTGGCAGGACAGGGGGAAGCAGGGCCTCTGTGGTCCCTTTGCTGGCCGGGGCCCACACCTCCATGTCCCCCTAGGGCTGCCAGGCGCTCACAGCGGAAAACACCCTTTTTGTCCCCGTTTCCATGAGAAGCCAGTAAAGTCCAACCAGTGCCCGCTACCCCTCGGCACTTTGCCAGCTCAGCCGTGGGCAGAGAGGCTTTCCCGTGCCAGGGTGGTGCTGACTTTGGGCAAAGCCGGGCCAGGGGAAGGGACATGCCCGCGGATCCATCCCGTCACATGCGGAGCAGCGAGCCCTCGGGCGCGGCAGGGCTGGCGCGGGCCGGGGGCTGCTCGGGGCCGGGGCTGGCCCGCATGCCCGTGGGGATGTAGTACGGGCTCTCCAGGTAGCCGCAGTCGGGACCCCCGGCAGGGGACGACCCCTCGCCCTTGGGAGCGGAGCCGGGGGTCCCGGGGTTGTCGGCAGCCGGCAGCGAGGGGTGCGGCGGCGAGGGGGCGGAGGGCGGCGGCGCCGGGAGCCCCGGGAAGCCGCCGTAGGACGCGTAGGAGGGGGCATAGACCCCCGGGGCCATGAGCACCGGGTTGAAAGGTGCCTGGTAGAGCCCGGTGTGTGATGCCACCGGTGGGACCAGCACCTCCAGGTACTGCCCCGTCTCGGGGTCGTAGAGCGTTTTCATCTGGGGCTGCCGCGGCTGCTCCACGTAGTAGCACTTCCCGCTGCTGGGATCCACGAGCATCCTCCGCTGGGCAGGCACGGCGGTGGGGAAGGGCTTGGGGGGGCTCTGCCTGCTCCTCCCACTCGGCGAGGAGCCATCAGTCCTCCTCAGGAAATGAGGAGCATCCTCCAGGTGGGGCTGGACTGGGGGCTCCACAGCAGCCGAGCCCTCGGGGGGTCGGGGAAGGGGGGGCTCAGGGCTGGGCTTGCCCCAGGGCACTTCCCCACCAGGAAGGGGATAGGCACCGGTTCCCAGCGGAGCGCTGGCTGGGTTGGGGACAAAAGGGGATCCAAAGAAAGAGCCGGCCACGTTGGAGACTGGTGGATGCCCAAGGGAAGTGGGGACTGGGTTGCTGACCAAGGGGGACCCAAAGGATGAGCTGCCTGGGTTGGGGATCAAGGGGTTCCCAAAGGATGCACTGGATGGATTGGAGACCAAGGGGTTCCCAAAGGATGCACTGGATGGATTGGAGACCAAGGGGTTCCCAAAGGACATGCTGGATGGATTGGGCACCAGTGGGGACCCAAAGGATGCACTGGATGGATTGGAGACCAAGGGGTTCCCAAAGGACATGCTGCATGCATTTGGGACCAAGGGGTTCCCAAAGGATGTGCTGCACAGGTTGGGCACCAGAGGGGCCCCAAAAGACTTGTTGGAGCTGGAAACCAAAGGGGTCCCAAATGATGTGCTGGCCAGGCTGGAGGCTGATGGGAAGCCAAAGGATGAGCCGGTCACGTTGGTGACCATGGAGGTCCCAAAAGAGGCACTGGCTGGGTTGGGGGCTGAGTGAGCCCCAAAGGAGGCGCTGGCCGGGCTGGGGACAAAGGGGGTCCCAAAGGATGCACTGCCTGGGTTGGGGACCGAGGACAGCTTTGGCATCTGTGTGGATTTGGGGGCTCTCTCGGGGATTGCCAAGTAGTTGGAGTTCTCCGCCGGGGCAGCAGGCGGGTAGGGCTCTGCAGCCGCCGGCCACTGCGGCGGGTGCTCCCAGGCCTCCCTCTGCTCCGGCAGCCGCCCCGGGGAGCCTTCGCTGCTGTGCCCGGCTCGGAGCGGGGCGGCGGGGCCGGTGCCACCGGCAGAGCCCCCGCTGCCCACCGACACCCGCCGGCCGCCGGGCTGCCGGGCGCTGCTGCCGCCCGGGGCTCCGGCTCGGGGGTCGCGGCTGTCACTGCTGCGGGGCCGCTGCCCCAGCGGCTCCGAACCCTGGGCAGCGGGGAGCGCCCCGCTGCTGCCACGGCCGCGCTCCTCCTCCCCCTCCGCGGGACTGGGCGGCAGGAGAAGGGTCTTCTCTGCCCGCAGCAGCGCGCTGCTCTGAGCCGGGGAGCGCTCCCGGGCCGGCCGGCCCACCAGGACGTGCAGGTGGCTCTCGACGTGCGGCACCCGCTCGGCCCGCGGCGGCACCCGCAGCTCGCTCCGCTCCCGGCGCGGGGGCGACGCCGGCGGCTCCTCCGCGGGGGCCGCTCCCCTCCGCGTGGCCTGGACCCTCGTGATGTTGATGGGGGAGCTGTGCGGGGCCTTTGCGGACCCCTCGGCACACGCCGGGGCTGGCTCTCGGCCGGGGGCTGCCAGCACCTCCTCGCCCGCCGGCTCCGGCGGCGGCTCCCGGCGGACCGAGGTGCAGTGGATGACCAGAGGGGTGGCTGGTGGCGGCTCCCCGCTGCTCGCCGGGGCCACGGTGCCGCGGGAGGCGCCGGCAGTCCCGAACTTGAGGCTGTAGCTGCTCTTCACCAGCTTGCGCACGTCCCGGGGCTGCGGGACGCGCCCCTTCCCCTTCTCCTCTGGCTTGGGGGGCGCGGCCGGCGGGGACCCCCGGGGTGCCGGGATGGTGCCGGGGCTGGGCGGCCGGCGGGGCACTGCTGGTGGCTTCTCCGGCTGGCTCTGCGGCAGCGCCCTCGCCTCCTGCGCCCGGGAGGAGGCGAAGGGGCGGCGCGGCGGGGCGGCGGGGAGCGCCCGGCTCTCGGCCTTGAAGGGGAGGCTTTGGGAATGGATGGGGCCGATGGCTCGCTCCTTCAAGCTGGGCCACGGCCTCGGCGCCCTCGCAAACCGGGGAGCGACATCCAGCACCTTCCCCACCCCGGGCTGGGCCTCGAACAAGGCGCGGGCTCGCTGGTAGCAGATCCTCTCCGACGTGTGCTTCTCCGTGGCCGCGGGCAGCCAGCGGCCCTCCAGCACCTCCTGGTACTTCATCCTCTGGTTGAGCTCGTTGAACGTCTTCCTCAGGTTGCAGACGGTCTCCCTCGTGGCCTCGCTGAGCACCACGCCCTTGGTGGGATGGGTGGTGGTGGCGGAGCTCCCCGCGGCCGCCGTGGGCACCGGCATCCCGCCGCCCCGCAGGTCCTCGGCCGAGAAGCTGCAGTCCGAGCGGGACAGCGAGCTGGACTTGCCCTCCAGACCATCCCCCAGCAGGTCGGTGCCGGCGGAGGACGGCCCCGAGGAGGTCGAGCTGCCCCGCAGCCCCTTCTGCTCCATCTTGATGCGCTGCTCGTACTGCATCTTCTTGGCCAGGACGTTTTTCACCAGGCACGAGGCCGCCCTGGTCCTGTCGGTGCCGGCCTCCAGGGACGCCGCCTTCATGAACTGCTGGTAGTTGAGCCTGAAGTCCTCGCCGACGGCTCTGCCCTTGCTGGGGGGCTCCTTCCTGGCAGGGGGCTGGGGCGCTGGGCCATCCCCCCGGGGGCCAAAGCCCGTCTCCTTCCTCTCCTTCCTCTTCAGCAGGATCTGGCGCTTGGGCACCGTCCTCTTCTTGCCGTGGCCCTTCCTGGCCTCTCCGCTCTCCAGCTCCACGTCCACGCACTCGAACTGCTCCTTGCCCAGCAGCTCCCCGTCCACGCCGGCGAGGAAAGGCCAGCCCACCCTGCCGTGCAGAGCCGTCGCCGCGCCCCGGGGCTCCCCGGCGCCCGCCGGCCACCGCCGCGGCCGCCCGCCGTCCTCCGACAGCGAGTTGGAGAGGCTGGAGGAGGTGTGGGAGCTGCACATGTCGAGGCGAGCTCCGGGGAGCCCCGAGAGGCTGCGGAAAGCCCTGGCCGTCAGCGCCTGCACCTCGCCGTCCACCTCGTCCGAGTCGCTGGGAGCCCCGGCGAGCATCGCCCCGGGCTGCCGGGGCACGGCCGGCTCCCCGCCGGCGGCCGCGGCCGGCACAGGCTGCCGGTCCCCACCGAGGGGACCCATCCTGCCCCCCTGGCCCGGCGCTGGGCTATTCTTAGCCGCGCTGGACAGCTGAGCCCGCTGCGGGCGGGCGAGGGGGCCGGGCGGCGGGGGCACGCCGGGGGCCCCCGCCGGAGCCCAGCGGCCCGGGGCAGCCCGGCCGGGCGATCCCTCCTCGTCCAGGAACTCCAGGCAGTCCTTGAAGGTCTCCGTGCCGTCCGAGCACAGGGCGGAGTGGTAGGAGGACACGGAGGAGCTCGACATGCTCTTGGTGAGGTCGTCGCGGGGCAGCCCCGGGAGGTGTCCGTCCTCCTCCTCTTCCTCCTCCGCGGAGCGCCGGCCGTCCGCAGCCGCGCGGGGACCCTCGCCCTCGGGGGACAGCAGGACCGGGTCCCTCTTCCCGCGGGGCATGGTGGCAGGGAGGAGCCCGGGGGCTTCAGCCGCTGCCGGGGAACCCTGCTCGGGGCTGGGGCCGCTATGCCGGGGCCGCTGGCTCGACCTTCTGGCTCCCTCGCCGTCCCGGCGGCTGGACCCGGCGGCGGCACAGAGCAAGCCCGGGATCACATGGACTCGGCGAGCGCCAGCCGGGACAGCCGATGCCAAGCGCATTGCAGGGATGCCACCGCCGCCCCCAGCCTCGGGGACCTGCCGGGGGGCCGCCGGCTCATCCCTGCCCCTCACCCCGCCCCGCTCTCCCCAGACCGCGGGACACGTCCCAGGGGACCCCATACAACTCCCGGGTGTGATCCCACGGCCTGGGCTGCCCTGGAGCGGGGGAGCCCTGCAGGGGACATCTGGGGATGTCCCAGTGCTGAGGGCACGGCAGGATCCAGAGCTGCAGCTCCATCCCCACCACGGCTCCTTTCCCGGTGCCACTGCCCACCTCGCCACAGCAATGGTGTGCCCACGCTGGGCTTTCCCCTAAACACACCCTGCCCCAAACAGGAGCTGCCACACAGCCAGTCCAAGCGGCCAGGAGCAGACTCAAGGCTTGGGATCAACCCAGGCATGGAGCTGACCGAAGGACTGCAAGCATGTGTCTTTTTTGGGGACACCCCAAGCCAGTGGGGGGGTGGCTGGGGTGGCACGAGGGTCTCTGCAGCTTGTCCACCCCAAGTGCTGCTGCTGCAATCCAGTCCCAGCTTTTGGGGGAATTTTTGCCATGAAACAGCAGCAGGTGCTCCCCAGTGCTGCCAGTCCCGAAGCAACCTGATGCCCACGTCCTCTGGGTTCATGCAGGGACTAAATTTAAACCTTGGCAAGGAGGAGAGGAAAGCTTCCCGCAGAGCTGGGCTGGCACTTAACCCTTCCCTGCTGAGCTGGGCTGGGCTTGCAGGTGGCATTTGTGCCCAGAGGGACTGCAGGGGACCTGCCGTGGGCAGCGCTCAGTGGTGTGGTGGCCTTGTGCAAGGAGTGTGTATGTGGGATTTCAAACCCCCAAAGCCCTTTCTTCATGCTCAGGCACAGGCACAGCCTGCCAGGGCAGTGCTGGAGTTGCCATCCCTGGTCCTGCTTCTCCACGGAGCTCCAGGCTGTGTCTGGGGCCATCCCACCTCCTGCAGCACCCACAGAGGGTGCCGGGAGGCGGATGGACAGAGGATGGACAGCGGATGGACAGAGGATGGACAGCAGGTGCACACCACAGCCGGGTGTCCGGTGCTGCTCTCCTGCCACCCTCGCAGCCTCCGGTGGTGTTGAGTCACTTGTCACAGCTGTTGTCACTGTGACCATTGTGGTTTTAGCAGGAGCTGGGTGTCGGAGCAGCAGCAGCAGCAAGGACTGTGCTGAGCACGAGTGTTGGAGTGGGGCAGGGGAAAGGCTGGGAGAGCTGGGGGTGCTCACCTGGAGAGGAGAAGGCTTCAGGGAGAGCTCAGAGCCCCTTCCAGGGCTTAAAGGGGCTCCAGGAGAGCTGGAGAGGGACTGGGGACAAGGGATGGAGGGGCAGGACACAGGGAATGGCTTCATACTGATACAGGGCAGAGTTAGGGGGGATATTGGGAAGGAATTGTTCCCTGGCAGGGTGGGCAGGCCCTGGCACAGGTGCCCAGAGCAGCTGTGGCTGCCCCTGGATCCCTGGCACTGTCCAAGGCCAGGCTGGACAGGGCTTGGAGCAGCCTGGGACAGTGGAAGGTGTCCCTGACATGGCAGGGGGTGGGAGTGGCCTTTGGGGATCTTTCCAACCCACACCAGTCTGTGATTCTGTGACCCCCAGGATGCTGTGAACAGCCCCTCTGGGGGTGCTGTGGGAGCAGCAGAACTGGCCAGGCATTGCTGTCACTGCCCTGGCAGCAGCCCCAGGCTGCCAGCAATGTGCCAAGCCAGGCCACGCTGCAGACCTGCACCTCCTCCTGCTGCTCCCGAGTTTGTCCCTCGGTGTGGCGAGACCCCCGGGCTCCTCCTGCCAGATGAAACCCAACCAGCACCTCCCAGCAGCCAGAGCAGGTTGGGCTGTGCCTGTGGGGCACAAACATGTTACAGAACAGCGGGTGGACCCCGGCTGAGCCAGATTTGCTAATTAAACACTCATTTATGTTTAAGCCAGCATGATACTGCCTGTAAGCCTCACCACTGTATTTGCTTATTAACCTGGGTTTCGTGCCAGCTCGGAGCGTGCTCACCTCAGTGCTGGCAAGCCTGGCACGGGCAGCGAGGAGGAGGTGGGAGGCTGCTGGTAGCTGCTGAAAGCAGGATGTGCCTCTCCCACGCTGGAGCTACTTTTTGCGGCTCCGGAGGAGCAGGAAACACCGGCCCAGCTTGGCAGGGGCTTTCAGAGCCGCCTCGGGTTCAGGAGGGACCTGGGCATCCGGGCCGCGGCAGCAGCGCCTGGGAGGAGCCCAGGCCCTGGGACAGCCCAGGGCGCTGTGTGACAGCGCTGTCCCCGAGCCAGGGTGTCCCGGGGCAGCGCTGTCCCCGAGCCAGGGTGTCCCGGGGCAGCGCCGAGCCGGGGCTGCGGCACAGCGGCGATGTCCGGGCTGGGACACGGCGGGGCAGGAGCGTCCTGCGGCCCACGGCGCCGTGCCAGGGGCCAGCCCCACTCCCAGCCCCTGTCCCGTTCCCGGCACCGCTTGTAACCTCCTGCCTCATTCCCTGTTCTGTTCCCAGTCCCGTGTCCCGTTCCCAGCCCTCAGTCCCGTTCCCAGCCCTCAGTCCCGTTCCCCTCCCTCAGTCCCGTTCCCGCCGAGCCCCACCTCAAGGCGGGGCCTGCACACACCCCGGTGCCCCCACACAGAGCCTCCGGCCCCTCACGCACGGACAGAGCTCACTTCCCGGTCCCGATCCCGATCCCCATCCCGGTCCCAAGCCCTCAGCCACGTCCCTGCGGCAAACGGCGGCTGCCTCCTCCTCCTCCCCGGCCCCGTCCCCGCCATCCCCCGCAACTCTCCCGGCGCCAGGCTCGGGCAACCACCGACAGACACAGCGATGTCACGTCTTTATTTAAAAATAAATAAATATATATACACACACAAACCCATGTTCAAGCGCTTGGTGCACTCTGGAACACCCTCTCCTCCTGTCAGAGCCCCACAAAGAACCCCAAGTACCCTTTGGAGAAGGACAGCAATGTGTTTCCACATCGGGGCTCTGGAGAGGATTCTCCTTTTCCCCGAGGAGCACTGAACAAACACAACTTGTCCTGTTTGTCACCGCAGAGGTCCCAAGCCACACGCCCTTCCTCACAGCACACACCAGGACCAGCACCCTGACCCTGGTTAGGAACAAAACACTTATTGCTTTTGGGGATGTTTTTACCTCCCTCCTGCGTTTCCCAGCTGATTGTGCTTCCCACAGGAGCTCTCCATCAAGTACTCGAGGTCTTTGGATGAAAAAGGTACCATCTGGCTTCAGTGCAAAATGCTGTGGAGGAGTTCAAGCTCCGTGCAGGACATTGTGAGTCCAGGAAGTTGCCAGATTTGGTCTCCCTACCTGCATCCCTCTACAGTCACATGGGAACGGCAGGGAAGATTCCAGCCCTGGAACAAAGTCCAACCACTTAAATAGATTCCTAATATATTCTAAAGCTATTTAATATATAAAAAGCAACATTATTTTCACTTTTTGTACACTCATGTGCTCAAAAGTGGGAAATACCAGCATTAAGGCTGCCTGCTGTGCCAGCCACCAAGCTGGAATCATCACCCATTTCTGCCCTTAAGCTCGGACAAGCCCTGGCACTAAGAATGCTCCACACCAACCCCCTCAAAATGCCATTTTCACTAGTGCTTTTCCTGTTCCAGATGCCCCAAAATTTCAACTCTACTTCCCCACATTCCTACAAGGTTTCTTACAAATGCACCATAAAAATGCAATTTAGAGTCACTGTGTCGGGTTTTTTTCCTTTTTATGACATCCAACCACAGCACTGCTGCTGTCCCTGGACTGTTCTCCTCCTCTCCTGGGATGTTTAGGGCTGGTGTACAGAAGCACCAGGCCTCAAACCAATCCCTCATCCTTGTGCAGACCCCAGGAAAGTTTTTTTTCCCCCAGCTTCCTTTCTTGCCAAACCTCCAAGGGCTGTATGGATGGGACAGGACATGGAGGGGACACACTGTGGCACCAACATCTCCAGTTCCATCCAGTGAGACTCCTACCCCCCTGCACCAGTGCCCAGCACACAGTCAGCTTTAAAGGCAGGCTTAATCCTGGCATTTCCCAAGCTTTTGAGCATTTACTCCTCAGGTCTCAGCCAAGGCCACCTGTGCATCCTGTGTGACTCGAGTTTCAGGCATGTGGCAACAGCAGAGCATTGCTCAGGTGTCACTGACTCCCGTTCCCAGGGTCAGAGGGGAGCAGTGCTGCTCTGTGAGCCCCCACCCCGGGCAGGAATTCCCTGGAAGAGCAGATCATTCCATGCAGGGCATACACCAGACTGCCTTGGGGGGTTCATGGTGCTCAACTGCAGCAACACTGCTCTAACACTGCTCTGCTGCTCACCAGGACAACCCAGCATCAACCTGCCTTCAAGGCCTGGCTGTGTGAAGGAGGACCAAGAAAAAACAGGACATTGCCACATGAATTTTTCTCTTTGCAGTATCATGCCTACAGTGAAACATTCATAGCTGCTCAACAGAGTAAAAATATGCTACATGAGAACTGTACCGGAAAATGCAGGATCCTGGGAGAGCTGGGGGAGTGTGCAGATAAAAACCAGAATGGAACAGCCAGCTTCGAAATATGCCACTGGAAACAGAGGAGGGAATGACCACAGTGCTGCTTTCCCAGCAGTCTGGCAGACACTGGAATGGGTGCAATTCCCAGGCTCCCATGCTGGTGTCAGGACGGGCACAGCCCTCCCTGGGAGCAGCACGGACACACACGGGAGAGCTGGGAATGTGCTCAGGGGCTGCCCTCAGGCAGGGACTGTCCCTCCTGCACTGGAACCACCCCAGCTCTGTGGCACAGCCCGGAGGGACAGGGGGAGGTGACAGCCAGCCCCAGCACGGCGCTCTCCGGGGATCCAGGGAGCTGCAGATCCATAGGAAACAAGGGAAGCAGAGAGGAGCCTGCTCTCCTGGGAAGCACACACAGCCTGGATGGCAGACAAACCACCCACACAGCTGGGGTCCGAGCTCAGAGCGTGTCCTGGGGAATGAATTTACAAAGTGCCACTGGTCCTTGGACCCAAATCTAATGTACAGGATATATTACAGCAAACAGCAGCCCTGCAGCTTGTGCCAGCCCCTCTCTGCACTGCCTGCAGGAGGACTCCAATATCTACACTCTTTACAACAGACTCCTTCCTTTTCACATGGAGGAAAATAAAAACATAAGTTAGACCAGCAATAAATAAAAGCATGGAACGTGTGCGTCCTGGTCAGCCCCCTTTATGCATCCCAATCAGACTGGAGAGCTTCTCACAGTGCTCGAGTTTCAGGGACTCTGCTTTCTGTTTTAACCGCTCATCTCTGTAGAGCTTGGCCAAATTGGACAAATCAGACTCTGAAAGATAAAAAAAAAAGATGTATTAGGATGAAGTCCTGAGCCTCCATTAAAGTACTGTTTCTAAGTGCTTTGTTATCCTTGTGGCACTTCTAAATTTTAATTTTGGTGGGTATTGAAGCCAGGGAGGTGAACAGCTACCCAAGGGACTCGTCTGAAAGGCCTCCCTGCCCTTTCATTAATAATCTCAAATGTACTTTGCATTTTGTTCCCCTTCTTCTCAAAAGCCACATAAAACTGAAATAATTCCATTGTTTAAATTATTTCCTCCCAGTAATTCAGAGAAGTTGCTTTTGCTGATTAGCTGAGGAAGTCTTAATATAGGTTTCTCCCCGCAGAATAATTTGGCTGCAGGATTAGATGCACCGAGGAGAACAGCAGTAATTTACTTCTGAAAAGGTCAACATCTCCGTAAGCACAGGCTACCTGATGACACTCCATTTTCCAAAGAGCTTTTATACACCTTACAAGCCCCTCATTTTACAAAATTATTCAGAGTGGAAAGAACTTCAATAGATCCTTTCATGCCTTACGAATTCTGTCCCCGTCCCACTGAAATTTAAAGCCATTTACCCTCCTCCCACTCACTGAAAAGCTTCACAAACTGACAGGCAGGAACAGCTCATTTTAGAGCAGGAATCCATTTCCACGTTTATAACCAAATGCCACTCAAGCAGTGCTGGGCACAGCCTTGTCAAGCCTCCAGTAAAAAACAGGCTCAGGTAATTGTCCCTGAGCCCAGAGTCCCTGGAGCTGTGCACTGGAGAATCTCAGTTTACACTTATCCAATTGAGGAAAATTATTCCCTGCACTTTTGACAGCATTCATTCCATCACATTTGCTCCTTGTGGGTTTCAATCTGTTACACAGTAGTTCTTCTGAAGCCTTTTCTCCAAGGAAGTTCTAAAATATTGAATTCCAGCTATATTTACACGGGATATACAGAAGAAATTCCTCCCTGGGAGGGTGGGCAGGCCCTGGCACAGGGTGCCCAGAGCAGCTGGGGCTGCCTCTGGATCCCTGGCAGTGCCCAAGGCCAGGTTGGTCATTGGGGCTTGGAGGAGCCTGGGACAGTGGGAGGTGTCCCTGCTCATGGCAAGGGGTGGAATTGGATGAGCTTTAAGGCCCTTTCCAACCCAAACCACTCCATGATTCTGTGATACTTATCCTGACTTGGTTTTCAGTTGCCGTTTTGTGAGTCCGAGCTCTCTGCAGTCTCACTTTACAACTGAGCCATCCCACCTGAAACATCTCCTGTAAAACCTGGCATGTGCTTTTTGAACCTAACTGTGCCCCAGATTTCAGAAGACCCAAACCCACAGCACACCCAACTTTCACACACTGCTCTGCTGAGTCTGCTGCGGCACTGTAAAACTGACTGGCTGAACAACGTACAACCAATCCATTATTTTAAAGGGTTTTTTTAAAAATGTTATTGGACACCAGGTAATGCTTTTCAAGTCTTAAAATGAAGGACTTTAAAACCCAAGCTGTTCCTGAACTACTCATCTCTGTCTGTTTTGCTGGTGCTCAAGGGAAATCTGCCCTCAGTAAACACAACAAATGTACTATAAATAGGCATTTAACTGACAAAAACTCATCACACCAATTCCAACACTTCAGCAAGGATTAAGGGACCAGGACTGTGCAGCAACAGCTGACTAAGAACCGCCTCAGCATCTGCAGAACATTTCCCCAGCACTCCATCCTGTACTCAGAGTTTATTTTTACAAACATGACTGTCCTAAGGTCAGCCCAGTCTCAGCTATGGCCAGGATGGGAAGCACTCTGAAAACGGTGAGTTTTTAATGACAGCAGTGGCCTCAGGCTATGCTAACTGTGGCTGCTGTGAATGTATTTGTAGCTGGTGACCAACACAACCCCTGAGTGCACAAAGCTCTGGAGGAGCATGGCTTGGCAGGCACTTGGCATTCCAGGCTGGATCATCTCCCCTCTCTGGCTCCTGGGCTCTCTCAGACTCACAAACCTTGTCCCCTCTTTGGGACTGGGCTCTCCCCAGCTCCAGCTCTCTGTGAGACAATGTGGTGACTTTCAACTGCACGAGGTCAATTAAAGGGATTTTTCTGTAAGAAAGAAACTCTCCCCCTTAGCAAGCGTACATTTATGAGTATGAACATCCACACTATCCCTGGAGGCTGCTCCTGCCAGCCACAGATAATCAAAACTGATAAACACACCAAAAACTTCAGGGCTTTTATGGTCTTATATTATATGTTCTTTTCCTTTTTAACTTCAGAGCCTACGTATTTTTTTTATTTTTCTTTAAAAGCAGGATTGGTAACTTTTATGTAAAGTAAGCCAAAACAAGCCTTCCCATCAAACACCTGTAAAGAACCTGGAGTTAGCAACACTAGTTACCTCTCCTTTAGGATTAAATGAGTCTTCTTTAGATAAATTGGTAAAGAAACTGAAAACAAGTGCAAAGGCACCTTTTAGGAGTGTGCTGAGGAGTGTTCTGCACAGAGTAATTAAAAACCCTCACC